TTCGCTCTTCCTTTTCTAAAGCGAAAAGGTGAACAGTTCCTCCTGGGAAGCGGCCTCTGTCGCTTGCCTTCATTGCGAACATGAATGACGGACCTTAGCTGTCAAGTCTGGGACTGGGGAAGGTCCAGTCTTCGTTGCACACGGCATGGGAAAATCATGTGCTCTTTGTGTTCTTCCCGCCGGAGAGCGGAGCCAGCAGCAGGAAAGCCAGACGTTGTCGCCACATTCGGTTCCCACTGCCAGTCAGTCTGCCAGCAGGAAGGCCTGGTTGCTAAATCATTTTAAAGGGGTAATTCCAGCACCCGGAAGAACTGGAGCGGGGAAACACACGGACCTGTCTTGTCTGGCAGTAATAGCTGTGGTGTCACAATGCTGAGCAAATCAACACGGTGTAACCAGAAAGCAGGGCACTGGCTTGAAAAGAATGTCTGGTCGGCTAGATCCATATTCCTATGATTGTAAACAGGTAAACAAAGGGTAAACAGAGGAGATGTTTTATTTGAATCCGGGTCTTGTCCTTCTCTCAGACTTTTACAATTTCTTATTATTACGTCCCTTGATATAAAAAGCTGTTTCTAACTGTGTGCTAGCATTTTGCTCTTTGCCGTTTTAATTAGTTTCCCACGTTGCCTTGAAAATAAGGCAAGCTGGGGTACGCCAAAAGATAAATTCCTAATGCAAGAAATTGTATATGGCTAATAAAGTGATCTTATCTTAAAATGTTAATGATGTGTTGACATCAATGCCCCAGTCTTCTTCATAAGCAGCCTCTTTTAGCTCAGTTTTTCCCATTTTGCATTTGCTGTAGACTGTTTTTACAGCCCGCATGCAAAACCCTGCACTTGTCTATATTCATCTATATGTCATCTGCCAGACATTAGCTCAGTTGTGATTTTTTTCTATATCTTTTTGAATGTCTTTTTCTTTTATTCATGTTTGCCAATCATCCTAATTTGGCATTATCTGCAAACGTAAGTAGCAGATTACCATCTGGAAACTTGATCAGCGATATAAATGAAGAACAGTGATCCTAGTAATGACCCCTGTGGCACTCCTCAGTGAGTATTACTCCCTGGAGAATAACTGCACACATAATAGTAATTCCCAATTTAGTTGTCACCTCCTTTAAATTAAAAATGGCAAAAGTGGTGAAACTACAAAAAACAAAGTATCGGAGGAGATCTAACAGGGGTGTTGGTCAGTTCTCACCACAGCTGTTCACTAACAGGCCATGGAGGCTTACTGAAGGACCACAAGATCTTATGTGAGTTACGAAGACAGTGGTCGTGGTGTCTATTTTTGTTTCCATTGACATATTCTAATGGGAAACCCCTTGTACTGGACAATTACAAGCCTGATACCCTCCCCCCACCAGTAGGATACACCCCCTCAGACTGCTTGGGCCAGGTGTTTCATGAGTATAGTGAGATTCAAGAATTTAAGTTTGAGATATGCCATTCCATTTGATGGAAAGTGGAAGAAAGGACTATGCAGAGACAGTGAACCACACTGCAAGCAGACAGTGAATTCATGGTAAAACATGAAGTCAGTTATTTTAATTTTGAAAGCATATTTGTGGCGAATAGCATTTTCATCTATGCATAATATCAACAAAGCTATACGAAATAAATTCAGTCATATTAAAGTAAGGAAGAAGTAATTCAATGCGATTCTTTGTTTTCTGATCTGAAGTAAGAAAACTTGATTTCACTTTGTTTCGAACAAAACAAGGTTTTTCATTCACATTGAGTTTTTTCCACATCAATCCTTTTGTTTTGCTTTCAGCAGTCAGTTTGTTGAACATTCATAAATTGTTACCAAAATCGACTTTTTAGTTTTTGCTCTGTACAATTAAAAGGCGCGCTGCTTTTGACGTGACTGTTACAACACCAAATAAATACAGGTTGACTTGTAAGTGACCCTGCATTCCAGAAGAATGTGACTGGACATGGTAATTCTTGAATTTCTCGGTAGAGTTACTTCAATGGTTATAGAGTGAGAATTCACTGACTACACTCCAGCAAGAGAACGGACTATAGTTGACCTGAAAAGGTGTTCAAAATATTAAATATTGTTGTGATGGTTAGCTTATAGGCTGTACCAGATAAGACAGCTACCAGGCTATTTTAGTGCTAGGACACTCTGGGCTCTTCAGCAGGCACGCAGGAGGGAATAAAGAAAGAGTCAGCAGATCGTTAGGTTGTTGGGAAAATGAAAGACAAGGGCTGTTTGGGCTGGGTGTTTCATGAGACCTGGGAGGCAGGGTTTTAAGTGTCAGCAGTTCAGAGACAAGGGCAGTGGGTTTGTTTGCTGTGAACCCGTGGATAAAGGGAGTAAAACTGCCCTATTTTAACCTGGGAAAAGTAAAAGCATCTTCTTCAGCCTTTCTACATCTACTGTGGGAGAATGTGCCACAGATTTGATCAAAGCTGCGATAATAGAACTGCGATGCATGTTCCATTAGTAGAATGATACCTTTCTTGCCCCTAGAACTGAGCCCAGGTTCTCTGCATGGCCTGCTTCTTTGTGCTTTTCATGGGGTATAGATTTTTTTACATTTTCTGTACAGGTTTAAGACTTTCCAATGAGTGTTTTCACCATGTTATTATCAATAAAGATTCCAGGAAAACAGCTTTACCAGGCTGCAGTGGAAGGCATTCAATTAGTGGAACAGTAGATGACAGTCATCTGTGGTTGGGTGTGGTACACAGACATTTACATAACAGAAAATCATTGATTTTTTTACTTTAATTTGCTGTATCTGAGAAATGTGGCTCACCCAACACAAGAGTGACACATCAATTACTCAGAATGCTTCAAAAGTCTGTTTTTAGCAATTGAGAAGTTTTCTGTAAGTTTGAGATTAACTGCAGCTACCACAGTCTGAAAACACAGCACGGATCTCACATGGTGAAGTATTATTTTGGTGACTACCCCACCCATTTTAAGGAGACCTGTTTGAAGTTATCACACTGAACAATCAAAGGGTTTCAGCTTTGAAATTTGCCATGTCCTGTGACAGGAAATTGCTATATTTAGTGTTGCACAATAAGGTTTTTGCAGTATATTAACCTTCAATAATAATCTCCACGGAATGACACACTTATTTTCTACACTCATTAATTCATCTTGTCATTTTACAAATTTATTTGCAGTATTCAGCATTTTCATGCTCGCTTGGTATTTTTGAAGTATCATTAATGAAAAATAAATATTTCAACTGGGAAGAAATGACAAGATTTCTTTAAAATAGTAGATAAAATCAATTTGATAAAATATAGTTACAATCACTGATCGACTTTGAAGGTGTGTATTATAGAGATAGTATCTCCACTGCACCGTAGAAATGTGGGCTATTTAAAGATTTCCTCCCGTAGAGAAACTGTCACGAATGACCCGCTGAGCAAACGGGAGGACGGACCCTGTGCGGTACCTCAGGTGGTCAGGAGACAAGCAGGTAGCTTCCAGAGCAGGTGAGGGCTAGGCTTCGAATCGGGAAGGGCGATGAGCCGGTTTCGATAACAAAGGCAAGGTAGGAGCTCCTAAGAACGACCAATACTGGGCAAAGAGTGGAGGGTTTAAGTAATGTGAGAGGAGGAACTGATGATTCATGGAGCGCTGATTGGTGGAGGGCCGTGGTTGGCTGATTGGCAGGAGCGGTGTCGTTTGGCAGAAGTGCGCGGGGCTGGACTGGGATTAGCGCGGGTGCGCTTCCGTGTGGGAATGCGGTGGGATGAGGGCCTGACAGAAACCCGCCGCTGTCCGTTGAAACAATCAGGTGTCAGAGAGGGATGTCAGGTGTCATGGTGGACATGTTCACCTGAGGTCAGTGTAGATAGTGAAGGACTCTGTAGAGGACACAGACAAAGACTGGCTTCCTAATCGCCTTGCATCTGGAGGGACAGATCCTTATGGAGAAAAATGCAGCATGGGGGAATCAAATCTGTGGTTAGTGTGGTAAGCCTTCTACCGCCGGGGAGTAAGTTTGGTGTTTGTGGAAAGGCCACTGTGTGGCTGTGTCCTAAAGCTAGGCTGCTTGTGACCGTCCATCAAACACAAGTTTCTAATATTAATTCCAGTCTGGAGAGAGAGGAGATGATGTGCTTCAAAAAACTTTAAAGAAAGAAAGTTCACTCACTGAGATCTTTTGGGGATGTTAAGGGACCTTTTTACTTCTGCAAATTATTGCACACAATTATTAGGTATAAAACTCCAGCTTTGTGAAGATGGATGAAATTCAAAGACATTTTTTAAAAGAACGATCCTGTCACAGTCTATTGCAGTCTTTTAAAATCGAATTATAGTTGGCAATTTACATGTCAAACACTTTAATGGCTAATCTGTATCCTTTTCCGCAGGCTGCTTTTTATAGCAATAGTTTATTTTTCTTGAGTTTTCACACATAAAGGTGATCTTAGAAAAAAGAAGCTAATCTTGGAAAAAAAATCTCATTTAAAAAGTGTGCTCATTTCATTGTAGTTGTTTTTTCTTCGGTGGCATATTGAACAGACATCAGCCCGCATTTTTTCAGCTTCAGACATTTTGCTCTTTTAGACACAAGTTAATATGTTTAAAGTGTTTTAATATTCAAAAACATACATTATAAATGTAATTACAGAACCTTGCCGACAGTAGACTGGTTTTCCCTGATATCACAAGGCCAAATTTCTAGGACGACTGTCGCTCTTCCATCTTCTCAGAAAACAAAGATATAACATGTTCAGTGTGAGAGTGCTGCACAATTGTGTGTATCTGTAGCATGTGTTAGATAAAAGTTCATTCATTAAATTTAACAGAATGTTACTTGCTACAGACTCTTTGCAAAATACTGTAGCATGATGAGATGCTGGAGTTCTTCAGCCTGCTTGTACAGTATGAGTCACACATGATATAGCACTGTGGGAAGAAACCTTGACTGTAGCGATCAGGACACTAGTACTGCCTGCCCATCCTGTTGGCGTGATTGTGCTTTAACCTGATGGTGTGTTTTTATTTTTCAGTGAACACCCTGCTGACAAGTGGGCTGTCAGGTAAGCATCCACAATAGTGCCGTGTCATCAACAGGATTCTCAGGATCCTGGGAGTGACACTAAACCTAGTCAAAGGCCCACCCACCCATCCACGATCAGAAAGCCATTTATTCCCAGTAAGGATTCCGGAAACCTGGAACCTGTCCCGGGTCCCAGGGTGTGCCCTCATCCCCCAGGACAGGTTCCAGGTTTGACACAGTCCATCCAAAAGAGTGAATTTTATATTGAGTTTAATGTTTCAAAGTCTAGTGTTTCTGTGGCACGTCTCCTGTTCCCTGGAATTTCTCTGGATAGCTGTTCAGCAAGCGAGGTGTCTAACATAAGGCACACCACACGAAATCCACCGCTTTCAAAACTACTCATCTGTTACCCTGTCGTGACCTCGGTTTTCTAGGACCTTTTCTCAAAAGGAAAGATAAAACGTAACTAAAACTAGGATGAAACACCATCAAGAGACTCTCTCTGTCGAGAAGCAGAATCTCTCAGAATAATTTATTTACTGACCTTTGCTTCTGAGACCAATACATCACCAGAGCTGGAACGTTTGAGCCGATAGCGTGCCATCAGCAATCCATCATCGATTTCTGTTTCTGTTCTATGTAAAACTGGGTATTTGCATATTTTTCCATATTGTACTGAAGCTTGCAATATTTTAACATCACCATGACAGATAGCATATTAGCTTGTTGTCTTTCCTTGTCATTCTGACTGTTTAAGTTTCAAACAGTGTGGTTACACGTTATTGCCATGACCCTGCAGAAGAAACAGAGTGATGCGGCAACGTTTTGTGTAGAATTATTAACTTATTAAGGAATTATTAACTTAGAGAGTATTTCTCTGTCACTGCTTTCTTTTTAGCTGAATCTCTAGCCCACATTTAGGTATCTGCAACATTAATGCGATTTACTTGATGTGTTCCAGCAACAGAAAACACACGTGTGAAGACAGCCCAGCTACCCCACTCAAAGCTCTGCAACGAAACAGCCCTGCTGCTTGTGATGGAGGACTGTGGCGAGCAATTTAAGAATCAGATGATGCATGTGGATCCGAAGAACTGGTGTAACTTGACGCATTTTATCTGGTAAGAATATTATTATTATTATAAACACATTATTATACAGCATTCATACTTAATATTTAGTCACTGTTGTGACCAAAGTGAAGTCCTTTAATCCAGTCAAACGTAACAGCAGCTACATTGCCAGCAGCTGTATCACCCTGCAGCTCACAGCTGGCAGCCCACTGGAGCTCAGCAGGTGTGAGCCTGGCCAGTACCTGGATGGGAGACTCCTGGGAAAAACTAAGGTTGCTGCTGGAAGAGGTGTTAGTGGGACCAGTAGGGGGCGCTCACCCTGCGTGGGTCCTAATGCCCCAGCATATCATATTATTATAAATTATTAACACTTGCACGTCAGATGTTGGGCGCTGAATCACAAGTGCCCTGCAGCAGAATAAGTGAGTCGTCAGTTGTCATACTTCTCCCACCTATTAAATTATTATTATTTGCTCCAAAAACACAATGTTCCTTGTTACAAAGAAACCTGACATTCTTAAGTCTAAAATAGTTAAGTAATATACCTAGATAAAAGTAAAATAAGAAAAGATAAGATTTTTTTATTGTCCCCTGAGGGAAAGTTTTGATGGACACACAGTACTCCTGTACATTTAAATAGAATGCAAAAAAAAAGAAGAAAAGAAAAACATTGCACATTATTCTATTACAAAACAAATAAGAAAAACATTGCACATCACTCTATTCATTAGAAAGACATTGCACATCACTCTATTAGTACTGTAAAAAAAAGTAAAGTAGCTTCCCCTACCTATCAGTGGAGAAAAGTGGGTGGCACCTACTGCAATATCTGAAGAGTATGAGTGTGTGTTGTGTGCGTTGGCAGAAGTTTGACTGCTTCACAGAATTAACAGACAGCTTCAGTCTGAACCCTTTATACTCATAACCTGCCCAGGATAGCCAGGGGTTTCAGAAACTTGTCTATGTGATGTGTAACCCAACCTAGAGTCTTCCAGCACAGTCCCTGCAGAGTGTCAGACCTTCAAAACAGAACAGACTTAAGCATTCGAGGTGTACAATTCTGTGTTTCTGCAAAGGAAAAAAATGTTCAGATTCTCTGTTGCAGTGCAATACAGGTTCTGTATTTTATCTGCAATTTTAAACTCTGTGATGTTACAGCCACATCACTGGCACCCTAACTAAATTACACACACATTGTGCCTGTGTATAGTATAATGAAATAATGTAGCTTTAGCTTGACGGAAGAATAAACTTCCATCTTCTGAGCTGTGCAATTATTAAATACAGGTTTACCTGGAGATGTGGTTCAATTATTGTTTATGGTTTTATGGTTCTTTTAATACGAGACAAATTTCAAATAGTGTGTAAAATCACGGAAGACGAAAATGATCTTGAATAACCTATTCCTAGAGCATTAGAAAAACAAATCATACTGTAAAATCGTGTGTTTGATTCTTCATCTGGAAACAGACAAGGATAAATGACATTTAATTTAATGCGAGAATGTTTCCAAATGAGCAAAGGAGAGTATGAAGTGTGATTATAACACAAAGTGTGGGCTGAGTCGACTGTGGCTGCTCGCCTGAAGCAAATGAAAACATGGAGATTTTTCATTAGGAAAAGGAACTTCTGAATTTATGCGATTGAATTATATGCAAACTACTATTTCCACAAATTGTTTCTCGTTTGAAACTAGCACAGCCTGCACTGTAAAATCATAAGACTTCCTATCTAATTTTTCATTACTTTCTGGTTTAACCCCCTTGTAACAAACAATGCACAAGCCTTTACTTTGATAAAATGTGAGATACAGTAGTTGGCTCATCCCTATCAGTTCTGTGCCTACAGTACTGCACTGCATGTAGTCACATGTTGTTTTTTTGTGAACCAGTTTTCCATTCATTTCCCATTTTTCTACACAACAAAATGAGAACAGACCAACAACACTACTTGCAGGGGTGGTGGTCCCTAGGTCCAGCTCTGATAGAGGCAGGGTGCGCTGGCTCTGACAGGCTCCCAATAAACGATGTCAAGACAGGACAGGGATGCCAGCGGAGGGCAGACAAGTGCACCCAGTGCAGTGCGCTGACGTTCGTCTTTCTAGCTATTGTGAAACCAAGCAGACAAACCCTCTTCTGCTGCCCCGAGAGGCCAAGCTCCCAATCATCATCTTGCAGGACTGGGCGTTCCCTGGATAGCGAGTGTTTGACGAGAGCAAGGAATTTCCTTGTTTGACAGTGGATAAGGACACCTGCTTCCAAAACTAAAAAGCTGCCCACCGTGGCCCCTGGAGAATATCATTTGCCAGCAGTACAGTCATTTGTTGCTGATGTACTTGTTCTTGGACGTGAGGAGCATGCTGACACGAGTCACCACCAAATCCCGGAGACTCTTCGATTTTTACTGGTGAACGTTTCCCTCTTTAAAAGCTTTTCCACTGAACCATCATGAGAATAAATTACAGGGCAGGAAGTTCATTGATAATATTGGGTTAATGTGAAAGCCGTACAACGCAGGGGATTGACAAGTGGCTTAGTCCTCGGCACAACTGCTGGTGGAGCAAAACAACACATTATAGCTGATGTTAAACTAGGAATAAACTTATTGCAAGTGATTAAATGCCTTGAACTTTTTTAAATGTCTGATATTTGTCATATTCAATCGAAGTCACATCATGCATGTTTACGCTCTTTTTAATTTACTGCTTGGAGACAACATTAACAGCCATTTATAATAAATTAGGGACATTAGCCGCTAATCATTACTTATCTACGAGCTCTCAACAAAAGGACTGGAGGACAGATTAAAACTGTAAGCCCTCACTTTGAAACAGCAGAGTGAAATCACCGGAGGATAAATGAGGAATAAAAGAAGATGATTAAAAATATTAATAGAACATTCAATACTCTAGGCAATTATTGACAGAGTCTGTTACAGCTCCTTTGATATATTAAAATGTCACTGTGGGAATATAACATTAGCAGTCATTGTCAAACATCACAGTCTACTAATGTCACCCATTTTCATCAACATCCTAGCTTTTATTGCGGCTAAATCGCAGAATTTGAAAAAGAAATTATAGAAATATTCCTACTCAAGCTTGTGCTGATTTTCTATACATTGAACAGTATTACCCAAAGGTCTTGTGGAAAGATGGGTTGCATTTGTCTTCTGCATCTACTGATTCAGTATTCGACTGTAGTATTTAACTAGTCCTAGACGAGACAAGCTGCTAATGTCACACGTTTTTGATTTTATGAAAGAAATAAGATGATGATTTTTTTCCTGTGACTTGACACTTGAGTGTTATGAAATGCCAAAGAGAAATAATATAAATTCAGCAAATACTAATATAGATTTATTTTGCTCCCACAGATATAGAGAAAAGGCAATTAATATTTAATCCTGAGCAAATATTTAATATTTATCTTCTATTGTTTGGGGAAATGTTTCCCCATTTATGACATAAATAATAACAAACCTGATGTTTAAACTTCAGTGAACTCTTAAAAAGTAACTACTGTTTTAGTTTTATGTTGTATTACTTTTTTATTTTACAATAAGAATAAAATTTAAATAAAAAGGGCACATTCATATGACACAATAATTTTATTTTATATTCGTGTGGTTTATTTTTAAAGGGGAGAAATGAGGAAAAATGAAAGACTGAGCTCCCCTGCACTGATGGAAAAAGTAATTGTCTGTATCTGTAAGTAATTGCACAGTAATCTGTGCCATTAAGAGAGCTCAGGTCCTTGATGCTGAAGGTTACATGGACTTGAGAGTAATCTGAAAATTATTTAGTTTGATCATTCACCTGTTTATTTTCTTGTGATAAAATGCTTCCAGATGTTTTAGCATCAGTGATAAAATTGTGATCTACAAGCCCTGCTGAACTGGGGCCGTCTAGGAGACCCGTGATCTAGGAGGAAAAGTTGCAGTGCAAAAGCCTTTGCCTAGATGAGAAAACCAAATGTACACACCGAGGAGTGTGCGCGAGATTATACTGGGTACAGGAGCAATTAGGAAGAGTGTCGCGGTCAGATAAAACAATGGTTCATGATTTCAGCCCCAGAAGGAAATATTACACAAGAAGAGGTATCGTGCGAGAGAGAGTACGGACGCTGTTTAATATGTTGTCAGGGTTTGGGGTGGTTTTTCCTGTACAGAAGCAGGAAACAAAGCCAAGGCATGTATAAATATGATACCTTTCAATTAGCCTGAATCATTGCATTACGCAATACTTTGTGGAAGGCGACGCCCGAATGAAGGTTTGATTATTTTCACCGTGGTACGGACCCGACACACGGGGCAACCAAAAATGACTTAAATTCGGAAAGAAGCCCAGGTTTGAAATCGATGTCCTGGTCTCCTTCCTGAGCCCTCCCTGCTTTAAACCCATCTTAAGGTCACATACTGTTGCTCAGACGAATGAAAAACAAAAGTGCAGCAGGCGGAATGAAATTCATCCATCCAGTCCGGACTAAACGGGAAGAATCTAGAGCATGTGGGATAGGTAAGGAGAGGGATGATGTACAATGCTTCCAGTAAAGTTAGTAAACGTCGATTTTTCTGAATGAGAGGGGGAAGAGTGACACTGACTGGCAGGACAATAGTTTCAGCACAGTAATTGAGGTGAAATGTCAGACGATCAAATCCATTGTTGCTTTTTGCTTGAAAATGGATGATGTGATTTGCCATATGCCAGAGGGTTATGTGTAGTTCTCCAGTCTTAAAAGGATTTCAGTAAACTGTGTGGTTATTTTAAATGTCAGTTCCTACATTACATTTGTCTTTGTAATTAAATATGGACCACGTCCACCATCATTAAGCTCAAAGATAAATGAGAAGCTACACGCATTTTGGGGGATGTATTCTGTTAGTATTTTGGGAAACTCACCCATTCTGACCGAATTAATTACTGTATGAATCCTGAGATTTCCTCAATGGAGTCTAAAAAAAAACAATGACTGCAAGACCCAAAGTAAAATGAATGTTTGAGTAGTTCCAAAAAAAGTTAAACCTACTGACACTTAATACAAATTAACAGTGTTGAAGGAGAATTACTGGGTAGGATCAAGCTTACAGTATATCACAGACTTCAAATTAATGTTGCCTTTCTTTTAAATTTACATTTATTTCTGTTAAGCTGTAACTTTGGTTTTCAAGTTCATGGAGAAGAGCTTTTTAAAGTCAAATATTGAATTTCCTTTATCAGATTGTTTTACTATCATTTCTGTTAGTTTTATTATTCTGGGACTTAATGGGTCAGTCTCTGCTTCATCAATATTTTCACTTTGGCTTATGCTACGGTTTGGTCTGAGGCATATTTGTGTAGTTCTTTTTATTTTTAAGTTGGGACAGTTTTGGGATGGAGGGGTTGGGGGGGGTGGTCACTGTTAGACAGACTCCTTTAGCTGACTTCTAGTGTAAGATGCAGAAACAGCCACAGCAATGGTTTCCTCTAAGTAACAGAGTCTGCCATTTCTACCAGGACTTTCAGTGCAAAAAGCCAGGGTCTATAATACCAGAATCCCCTCCCAGAAAAAAACTAGCTCTAGCTACACATGCAGATTTTCACATTTTCTCACATGCAGACAGGCGCTAAGCTGCACAACCTTCCTTTGACCTTTAATCAGTGGCTAAAGAGCACCGCTGTTCTTCCACACATTCTCACTCTCAGTCTCTCTTTTTTCATTAAGCAGGCAACCAAAACACCACTGTTCCAGAGCGAGCAGGAGACCTAGAGCTGTGCGCACCCTTTCAGACAAGCAAGCCGACTGCTTGGAAAGGGGAAGTTTCAGAAAGGGATTTACAGTTCAACCCAAAATCCAAAGCAAACGCCATGGATGTAGTAACATTTAGCCTTCACATAAAAAAACATGATGAATCACAGGATGAAACTTCACTTGAATGTGTGTGACCGCAGGCTTTAAGTCAGACTAGAGTACTGGCCTTATGGAAACACGAACATCAAATTACACCGTGCCCGCTGTGGAGCATTTTGGGCTGAGATCATTATGATGCTAATAGTGGTTGGACAAGATTGAGCCGAGCTGCTAGAGCTACTTAAGAGCAGAGAATTAAATTAAGACCATTTGCCAACATCATTTTCTATACTAACCGATTGAGGTTAATGATGATGGATAAGCAGAGCGAATCAGGCGACTGCAGTCGCTGAGGTTCTGCAGCGTGGCGAGGGTTAACAGCACAGTCTCCCTGTTGGCTCTCCCTGCTAATGGCCACTTTAGGCTTACAACACAACGCATTGAGAAGAATATTTTTCAGGACCGAATGAAGACATTTAGAAGGCAGACAGCGGATCACTTCTACTGGGTTCTATGAGCATTAAAAGCCTCACTTGATTGCTTTCTGTGGCGTTTAAAAGAAGAGCCCAGAGCTGTCCCAGATGAAAGGGTTTGTGAACCCAGCCTACCCACATGCTCTGCTGCACTCCTGTCAATAAACAGGCCATTAGCCATTGAATTGAAACTTTCCGGACACGTTGCAGAGGCCAGTGACAGAGGCCAGAGACGGCAGCCTGCTCTCTGAAGGGTGGAGGAGATCAATTTCTTGTGCTTCCAGGGCTCATAGACCATGTGCTACCCTTGCTGCCCTTGGGTTTTGTAACTTCACTTCCGAGCTCAGAGCTCAGAAGAGCGTGTCGGTGATTTTCTTTCTTATTTTTAAAATCTGATTCTGATGGGATGAAAATTAAAACGGAATGAGACCTAATGCTGATTTTTCTATGTTTATGTCTGTGGACAGAAAATTGTATTCATGCCTGAAATGAAATTTTGTTCCTTTTCCTCATTGGGGAATCATATCAAGAAATCATCTTCATTAGTAGTAGTAGTAGTAGTAGTAGTAGTAGTAGTAGTAGTAGTAGTAGTAGTAGTAGTATTACTACAGGAACAGAGAACAGAGTTATTTTAAGAGAGAGTGATTTCTCTCCATGGTTAGCCCTCAATGTGGATTCTTACCACCACATTTTTCAGGCAAAACAGAAATCAGTTTATCTTGCCACAATGCAGCTACTAATTTAGTTGCATCAAGAATACTAAGCTTTCAGGTATACCCGGGCCAGTGAAATGTCGGTTAATTTATCAAGACACTTTCTTATATCTTATTCATTGGAGGTTTTTTTGGTACCTTTACTTTTTTTGTGCTTGTCTCACATTGTAAAATAATGTTTTAAAGACACACCATTGTATGGATTTCTCATTTTTAAGCTACTGAATTTCTTTAAGAGATGATAACTGCCAGCAGAGGTGTCTGTTTTTAATCGAGCACCTGCAGACTATCGGGAAGCATGTTCATGCCTGTGTTTGTGTTGCAACTGCTTTCAAACTGCTTGCCTTCCAGTGAGAGGGGAATTACACTTCCCAAACGTCTGCTCCAGCTGTCCTGGCCTCTGAGGGCTCTGCCCCCATGCTCACGCGCTGTTCCTCTCTCGCCTGCAGGGAGTACTACTCGTTTTCCACCTGCACCGAGCAAGAAGCGGAGGTGATAGGCTGCTACTGGCCGAATCCCCAGGTGGAGAGCTACATCATCACCATCCACAAACACTTCTTCTCGAACTGCACCCTGGACCACATGGTGCTGCTCGACCCCCCCGACCCCACGCTCACGGTCCTGGTGCTTGTCCCTGTCATGCTCACGCTGGCCATGGTGGCCCTGGTGGTCTGGTGTAGCAAGCGCAGCGACATCCTGGTGTAGGTCGTGGGCCCCGCCGGCTCCGACCCTCGCAGTGACCCCACGCCCCCCCCCCTTCCTCCCCTCCCCCTGCCCCACCCCCCCTGTCTCCAAGGGAACACACTTCTCCGGGCCCAGGAACTCGGAAGCTTAAAGCCCAGAAGCTGCTCAACGATGGACGACAACAACCCTCCAGGTGTTCCGCGATGTGTTGGAGCTGAAGCAGAAGCCTGAAGCAGAGCCTCTAGATCGCCTCAGTGGGGGTTAATGACAGTAACTCACCCAAGGTGAATGGAAGTGGATTGGGGGACGACACAACCAGGGCTGTCTTCAACGAGAGGGCCAGGGCACAGCTGGAACAGGGCCGAAGTCGTACAGGCTAGCCTTTGTTAAATGGAGTGAGATACTCTTCACAGGAGAAAACACAGAGACTGACAGGGCTACCTAAGAGCTGCAGTCTTTCCTCCGAGCGGCATCCCAACACCCTGAGCCTGCAGGGGGAGCCCCGGACACGATGCTTTTGTTGAGGAGCTTTGTTCCGAAAGGTCTACCTGCAGCTCCTCGCGGGTGGAACAGCAGTGTGTTCCTGCTCTTCCTGAGGGAACTGCGATACATGTGGATATGGCCAAGCTGCAGACACGATCTGCTTGAATTTCCTATTATGAATCTCTTGCTTGTTGTTTTTACGATTCAGTGGAACGTCGGTGAACAATAGCCGACAGCAACACTCAGCGTTTCTGAAAAACTCGGCAGGACTTCCACTGAAGGCTGTCTGTAATGTTTCTGTTTCATCACTCTGGGGTCAAATTGCAGACAATGACACTGTAAATCGTTTGTAAGTGTTGATAATTTTTAAGAGTATGGTATGCTACCAGTATGTGATTTCTGTCAAGAAAGAATGATGAAATCCTGTACTGTATTACTATTTAATGTTTTAATTAATTTGCTTAGAAGTAATCACTTCAACATTTACTATTCATCAGAGACAACACCACTGGATTTTTAGATCCAGACTTAAGCACTCTCTGTTCTAACGCAATATGTATTGTATAATTGTTTCTCAAAGAAATGTTCGCAGGCGAGTGTTTAGTTAGCACATCTGATGCCGTACACTGAGTAAGGGCCTCATTAAAGTGAGAAAAACCGAATGCACAATTCGCTATGATTTTTATTGCTGTCATCTAATGTCCTGGTTCTTTCTTTCAAAGATTTAGAAATTCGCGCTGACACACAAGGCCTGGCAACACAAGTAAGGTGTGACGACAGTGGCTGAACCGCAGAGCTCCTCTTGACTCGTGGTGTGAATACTATACAAATCGCCAGCAGGGAGACCCGAGCGAGGGCACGGTGGTGACAGCTGCTCATATCCATGCCTTACTGCACGCCATGCTGAGGGGCATTTTGAGTACAAAATGATTACTTGTGAGTCAAATGAATAAAAAAAGAATACAGATAGCAGCCTGGCACAGCACTCTCGGGAACAGGTTCACCTGATGTTGCTGTTCCCGCTGTGCTGAAGCCACAGTTTGGCCAGAGTGGAGTGTTCAAGCCCAGTGGCTGTCTACAGCTTACTGGCTGGGGCTGCAAGGCCGTGGGCTCAGAGGAAACGGCCCTGTCGGGGGTAGGCGACTCAAGCTGTCACCTCTCCAGTCCAACCAGTGGACACGGTAATGCTGCACCAGGGTCCTCCATTGGAAAAAAGAAGAACGAAGGCTGGGACTTCGGGACACACACCGCACGGTACAGTTTGTCAGCTTGCGAGGAAGGGGGCCGAGGAATGGCTTGACACGGTAAGTGTGGTCGAGAAACAAACAGGAGACAATGGCGCCTTCTAAAGCGCCGTCTTCGTCTGTGCCCTTAAGGATGACTTCTTGGAGCCGATCGGGTAAAGAGCTGGACGGCAGGAAGGATATAAGGCTCTTTCCCAGAGCAGGCGAAGAATTACAGGAAATGGGCTGGCTACGCTTTTACCAAGAGTGGTACAGGAACCGTCAACAGCACCTTGCTTCCCCGCTCCTCATTGTTATGGCTGGGCCGGCCTCGTCGCCGCCCCCCCCGCCCCCCCACGCCAGGGGTGTGTTTGGTGCTCCAAGGGACATGCAATGAAAGACAAAAGGATGCGAGCGTCTTCGAGAATTTATGGCACATGGAGCTGGGGGGGGGGCTTGCGGGGCTGCGGGTGTTAAAAACAGATGTGTTTTTCAGTGGCGGCGCTCTCTCCTCCTCCTCCTCCTCCTCCTCCTCCTCCTCCACCCCCCCCCGAACAAAAACCCAACAATGGCCGGAACAACGTGTGTTCGGCCCCCTCCCTGCCACAGGACAGGAGAGGGAGGCGTCTGCTCCTGCCTGGCGAGAAGCAGAACGGTTAAATTCAGATCGGCGCTCACAAAGTCCAGGGGTCATCCCTCTTCCCACAGAACCTCGCTGCTGGAGACGCGCCCTCGGCCTGACCTCCTTTTCCTCTCCTCCAGTGCGCCGCGAAGGTTACTTTGCCTCAGCTCCTCGCTGCGCGCTGTGACGGTTATGACCATCTGCGGGGACCCTGTCCAGTCTGGTCGTTCTTCTTTTAAATAAAAACATTCACTCAGGAATTCATAACAAAATTAATTTGTTGTATCCCTTTGACATACATGAACAAACTTACTCGGGGATAATTGCATGGGAACCTGAACCCGCTTAGGTGCCGAGATTTCACCCCTTTATGAACAACAGAAAACATAGGAAGTCCACACTGATCACTGGGGTTCAGTGTATGTACTGTATGCCTTTTGTGTTGGAAACGGCCTTGAGTTTCTACTGTGCGTTCTGCACACGCACAATGGTTGGTGTAAGTTATTGTTTTGCTGAGAAGCCACTGAAGAATCAACACTATGCATGGTAACTTAAGTCCTAGGAAAAGCTTGCCATCACAGTGCACAGCCTGATACGCTGAGGGGTTCAAATAACTGGTACACAGAGACACGTGCATGCTGAAAAAAAATAGAAGGGTACTTTAATGTTGCTTTTGAGACATGAAATCATATCATCATTGTACCATCACTGTGCCAGATTTATTATGATGTCGAAAGGCAGTCAGAGATGGCTATCTGAGTACCAGTTATGTGAACCCCTGTGTGTGCTTATTTTATTTTCTGACAGCTAGTAAAACTGCAAGTCCATGCTGATCTTAACAGCATCAGTTATTATCAATCCCCTTGCACAAACTTCCGTCTTCTGTTAATCCTCACCCAGCTGGCTCTTTCAAACACACTAATACCATTTTGTCATCTCTGAAGAGATCTTCATGGTGCGTTTCTGTCCCCCTGACTGCCTGTCAGTGGGTCAGTTTTTCTTGTGTCCAGCCCTGACCCTTTCTTTTTGATGTAAGTCTGAACCATCTCCAGCTTAGTCTCTCTTGCTCATTCTGTTCTATTATGCCAGGCATACAGCTCTCCTTGCTACACTGAGCTGTTTGAAGTTTCAGATGAGTTTAACTTCACCAGCCAAACCAAGGCAGCAGGCAAAGGTCAAAAAGACTAAAAGTTCAAAGTCTCTTTCCCCCTTGGACTGGGGATCACTGAGCTCTGCTGCTTGTACAGTAACAAGGGAATCAGTAAGCTATGCCGCTTGTAATAAGGAGTTGGTTAACACGGTTCAGGACCTAACTGTGTGGTTATGTCATTGCTGCTTGATTTAATGCCCTTGGCGTCTAGCAAACAGGAGAGCACAGTGGACAAGTTATGTTATTGACAATGGAATTGACCACAGTTTCAAGACAATTCATACCCTGTGCAAATTGTCAGTTTGCCTGTGATTCTGAAGCCAGGCAGTGCAGAAGAAAATTCAGTTCACTTTTCCTCCCCCTACTAATCTTACTAAAAATATTTGTTATGTAAAACAAAGATTAATATCAACCCAATGATTGAGAATCTTAACCAATGTGTATGCTTTTTACTGGCAAAAGTAAATTAAAATGTTTTCTTTCAGCATCAAACTTTTTAGTTTCACTTTTCAACATTCAGACGTTAAATGACCTCTAAGGTCTGCAGTACTGAATATGTTCCTTAAGCAAGTATTGGGGTTTTCTCAGGCTCATCAGGGTGGTGCATCCTGATATACACATACAAAAGGGAATTAAAATCAAAGGGACTTTTTTTCATGCAAAATGCTTCTGGCAAGTTTTATTTCCTGTTTACTTAATGAATCATGGTCCGACGATGTGAATTTAAAGGCAAAGGATCTGCGCTAATCTCGAAGATTGTCCTTTAAATTCAATTTTATTATCAGTTAAAGTAGCACGTTTTATTTCAATAATAAAACAATGTAGCCAATAAAAGTATAATTAAATGCGCATAGTGCACATTAAATGCACATTGATAGTAACTGACAGTCCTTGTTGGGAACAGCAAAGTGTAACTCATTAGTCATGAGAAATATAAAGTATTTTCTGTCTTCCCAGGCACAATTTGTGTTCAGATAACCTGTGGAATTGCATAGAGCTTCCTTAGTGGTTTTGATTGTTTCCACAGGATAACCTACAGTATATTCAATAATTATATTATGAAAGAAACCTTTTTTTCTGACATGGGTTGATCCCCAGTAATAGAAATCTGAAATCTGTTATCCAGACCCGTCATGCACTGCTGACATTTCTGGATAAACTCAAACAATTAACTTTGTTTTCCTCACAATGCACTAGCGTAGAAATAGCAAGAGTTAAAGACTTGCTTTCCATGACCTCTTGCTTCACAGTGTGCAATTCTCAGCAATAAAAACCATCCAATTACAGCAGTTTGTTGAGCAACTGAAACTATCACTTCCCAAGGAATGATTTTCCCATCTTACAATAGACAAACATGATGCCAGATCCCTAAACTGTGACCATTCAACAATACCAGAGCTTATATGAGAGTTTAAACGTTTTTTTGGTGCTTTGGACAAGGGAAAAGGGAATGAAGTACCTGAACATCATGCAGGTACAAGTGAATAGTGTGTAACTCTTTAAAAATCATTTCAGAAAACAACTGTGGAGCGTGATCACATGCCAAGCAGCCTGTATCGTTCCAGCCTGCGACTGCAGCAGATTGAGGGCTTACTTATAAATAAGTGTGCAGCTGGGCATTTAACCAGAGTGGTCGGAGTAAAGCAGCTTACAAAAAGGTACAAGAGCAGTATCCCAGCAGGGACTAAACTTCTCCCAGTTCGCCTTTCAGGAAGTTCGTCGTTACAGAAGATGGCTTGAGTAAATATTGGCATTTTTGTAAAGGGCCTCTGGTCTTTATGCCCAATTCATTCTGCAGCACTGCAAGGCCGGCAGCACAAAGCAAGAGCACACATCTGCTCTGGAGGCATGCCAAGCCAGCTACAATGTTGCCTATTGACCTACATTGTGTTCAGAAAAAAATGCTGTCGTCTGCTAGATTTAATGGAATGAGCATTCTGCCGCTGATGGTTGTCTCACATTTCTTAGCCCGTGTCACTAGGAAGAGAACAGACTTTCCCACAAGATAATATTGAAGTATGAAAGGGTAAATTAAAAGTACTTAAATATAAGATGTACTTGGATACACACTGTTCATATACAGTACCATCTCCCTGAGCTGATGGTCCAAGCTAAACAGTTAAAGCAGAGATAAAAAAAGTTAAAGCATGCTGAAAATTAAATTAGAACTATGTTGGGAATCCTTTTGTGACATTTTTGGAAGGTCAGTGAATGGTTTAACGTTGATGCATGTTCCTGTGATTCAGTCCTGCCAGAATGAGTACGAAGTGCGAGGTGAGGGCACAAGCAGTGAACCCTTGCCGTCCTGTGAGATTAGGATGGGATAATCTGTCTGGGGCGGCCGGGCTGCTAGACGAGACAGCCGCTGACTGCCCGTCCCTGAAGAGCCTCCGGTGAGTGAGAGGAAGGAGGGCTTCCCAGGGCTGGGACACCCCAGCCTGCTTCAAATTCACTGGCAGCACCAAGGTTATCTGAAGAGGTTGAACTGATCTCCAGAAAGTGCTTTCAAGGGAAGGGTCCCCCAGGCGAAAGACTTTTTCGTGGTCCTGAACTGAGCAGCCTCGTCCCGCACATAACTGTACCTGTGTTCAGCCTTCAGAGCAGACTATCACTTTCTGCACTTAGAACGCAAAACAGTTTCCAGACTGGCTGTATAAAACCACGCTA